CTTAAAATTTATATTTAGATCCAGTACTGCGGTTGAACGCCAATATATATGCTCCAGGTACTTCCATGTGGCTATTCGTAGTACTAAGGAAGAAATATTTCTTAAGGTTTTATTGTCCGCGCCTTGTCCTTAATTTCCGACAATTTGCCGCCGATTTCCTCTGAATCTGGCCCAGACTTCGGTGTTTTGTTCCCCTTCATGTGTTTCTCAGGCTCGCGCCGGCCAGTGTCCTCTAAAGAATGTACTCGATTTGACTCGGGCCTACACTGGCGAGGACAGCTACAGCGTGTGGTCAGTTCTGGCCCAGGGACTGAGTTCTGTTCGCGTCCTCCTCCAAGAGATGGCCTACAAGGCCGGTGACGAGGTTTTCTTCTCCGAACTTTCACCGGAGGAGGTTGGTCTCAATAACCTCTGCACCCAATTGGCCATGCCTGTTTACGAGAAATTTGGTGAGCTTGTTAGGCTTTTTCTGTTCCCAGTTCGATATTGTTTGTGTCTGCATAGTCCTTTTCATGTTAAACTTTTTTCATATCTCGATTTTTTTTCCATGGATCGCACTTGTGCGCCTTCCCCCCAAAAAATAACTCTGCTTGGTAAAATTACCCATTTTATTACCCTTATGTTAATCCCTGTATTTCCATGAGATAGGCTTCTAAAATTCCTGCTTTAAAAAGTCTAACTGGCTTCAAACACAGAAGTATACAAGTAAACCTCCTTAAGCAGTCTGTTTTTCGTAGGTTTTGACCCTAGACCAGAAGACAGCAACAACGATAGCCTCCTACGGCCGATCATTCTGGACGTTCTCGGTCGTGCCCGTCATCCTGACGTCATCTCGAAGGCGCGCAAGGCCTTTGACGCGCACTACGCCTCTGTAATGGAGACCCCAGAGGGCCAGCCACAGGCAAATCTCATTTCTCCTGACCTGCGTACCACTATCTACTCCCTGTGTCTACGCAACGGAGGTGCAGAGGTATTCCAGCGTCTCCTCGCAGTAAGTCTGCATTCGGCTTTCCTGCCACTGTTTCTGTTCCCGTTGCCCTCTTAGTCCCAGTCATGCTTGGAAAAGACAGCGGCCAAAAAGCGTCGGGCAACGTCACTTTGGGTGTTTTATTTGCCTATTCTTCCACCTGAAGTTGATGGCCTAATATGCAAAGCTGCATTGCTGCTGAATTTATTTTCAGTAGGCGTTCTAGCGATTTAAAATAAAACGGAATTACTGTGAAAGAGCTACTTTGTCCGCAGGCAGGACGGGTATTGTGCTCGGTGGACACGTGGTGGTAGGAAGACCTTTTTCCACGTGATTGGCGTCGGAATGGCCATTCTTTTTCTGTTTCCGCACGCCTTCTGCGGAAATGTCCTAAAACCCCTATTACCAGGGTTCCCGTATTACCAGTTTTCCCAGCAGTTTTGCATAATATTCGCCGCTCACCTGAATACTTTAACGCCAGTTGGTGTTTAGCAAAGGAATTCGCTCATTTAGGGTCCGTTACCTAGCCTAAAATCGTTCCACTTGATGA